CCAGGAGTTGGAGGTTGCTGTGAGCTGTAATGCCATGGCACTCTACCCAGGGGGACAGCTTGAGGCTCTGTCTCCAAAAAAAAAAAAAAAAAAAACAAAAACAAACAAACAAACAAAAAACACCACCTTCTCCCAACTAGAGGAGTTTTCTTCTTTGACTTCTTTTGGACAGACTATTCACTGTTCCAGGAATACCCTGTTTCATATTTGCAACGCATACAAACAGATGCAAAGGAGAATGAAAATAAGGGCAAACCTGTACTCCAACCGCTGGGTTGTGTGGCATTCGATAGAGACTACTTCTGGTTAACCATTCAAAAAAGAAAACACAAGAACCTTTCAAAGCGCAAAGCTTGCTGCTGACCTGACCTATGTGTTTCAAATCTAAAAGCAAGGCCGTTTTTATTTCTTTAAATTGTAGGATCAAGTACTATGTTTTCTTAGAGTCATACTAACTCTGAAATTTTCAGAGCTATGGGAGGGACGCACAAGCAACAAGTGAAAAGGTAAGCCATATGCACCCCTGCCCTGTCCTGAGTATACAAACCTCCCTGGCTGCTGTCAAGGTTGAAGTAACTTCCAGCAAACTGGGTTGCTGGCGCCCTCCCAACCCCCAACACTCCCGAGCACTCCCGAGCACTTCCATCTGACAGTGTGAATGCTCTGAGTAACACTTTTGCCTCCATTTGCCCACTCTCTCCTGAAATACTTCATAGAAAAGTACAAAAAGTCAGTCTGCTGAGCAGAGAAACAAAAGAGTATGGATTATTTAGGACGCGATTTTTAAAATACCAAACTGTTCTAGCTCGTAGAATGCAGGCTATAGGTTTCTGTTTTCACCCATGTGAGAAATGAATTCCACACGAAAGACGCTCAGCAGCAACTGTTTTCTAGCCTGGGAAGGGGCGGGGGGGGGGGGGGGGGGCGACCTAGAGCGCTGGTGCCGGGAAACTTGTGCTCAGGCGGACAGAACGTCTTTCCTTTTAACTTCAACTCTACATGGAGAAGGCGCTCTCGCTCAAAATATGCAGCCAGACCTGTTTCTAGTCTCGTCTGAAATTCCACAAGCAAAGAGAAACTGCAGGCTCGGTGTGAGACAGGCAGAGAGACCTCGCCGACCCGGGACGTGCATCAGAACCAGCAAGTCCAAGCTGGACCTCTCGAGACCCTGGAGGGTAGCTGGGAGAGAGCGGAGAGGCCACAGCCTTCCTCCCCGCCCCTCGCCCAGGCCACGGGGGAATCAGGCTCCCACCACCCCGCGACCCGCACCGGCCGCCGCACTCACCCTGCACCGCCGGCGCTCCCACCTTACCGTGCTGGGACGTCAGCGATCCTCACCCCGTAAGGAAAAGAGTTCCAAGGTTCGCGTAAACTTGGCCCAGCCACGGCGCGCAAACCCCATAGGCCAGGTTTTCACCAATGAAGTCTCCTTCGGGCTTGGTGACACCACCCCCAGACACTCAGCTGTTTGGCATTCCCTGTTTTCTTAAAACAGGAAACCCCGGCTCATTTGAAAATGTGTGTTCTTCGCTCTGGTCTTGCCAGGGGTAAAAATAAAGCCAGCGATTTAAGCATCTCCACAGAAAGGCTCTGTCTTTCCTATACCAGTCACCTCTGCATCAAAGGGTCTGTGTTCTCCCGTGGAAGCTAAGCAGCGTCAGCCCCCAGTCACCTGAGCCAGTGCAGAGGCACAATCAGCCCCACTGTTCCCGGAGTCCCCAGCAGGACTCGCTGCTCCCAGCACTGCAGGGATCCCCTCCTGCAAGTAACGGCAATTATTCCTTAACATTCAGCTCAACGGAGCCTTTGCCACTGATAAAAATTTCTTTAAAACAAGTTAAACCGAAAGCCTTTTCCAGTTACAAAAGTAATACATGCTTTTTTTTTAAGTTACATACAAACCATTTAAAGAAAAAAAAAAAGTCACTGATATCTCACCACGTAGTGGCAAATGTTAATATTTTGGCATAACTCCTAGGTTATTTCTTAGCATAGGTACTTTTCTCACAAGCGTTTTCAACAGGAAAGATGATCCAGTTATGTCAAGACTCAGAACACAATAAAATACATCTCCTTTTAGCACAAATTAACGGGCCCATCTTTAGTTATTCGTGAAGTTCAACTAGTGAAAATCACAAAAGGCATGGGTCACACTCAATTATCCCCAAGTGAACTTTGGACTTCCAGCTCTAAGAATCAGGAGAAGTTAGAATTTAACCGCATTAGGCTTGATCATTTCCTAATAGTGCCTAAACCAGACTACCCAGAGAATTCCTAATTCAAATTTCCTTCTTTAGCAACTATAAAGATGTGTTCTCAAGGGTCATTTTTACAGATAATTGTTCATGGTACAAATTATTATACAATTAAATAAAAATATCCTATGTTCTTATTTTATCTCCTGCTTTCCAGTATACTTTTATATCCCACATTAACATAAATATGGCATTTACAAGTCCCTAATTTATTTCCCAGCTTTATCAAGACAAAAAGGCTTCTTTTTTGCCTTGTCTCTCTGTGCTGGACTGTAAATATACTGACAGCAACAAATTTAATTTTTAAATTTCTTTCATTGCTCCCCTCTCCCAAACACACATCAATCACCAAGATGCTGAGAACAAAGCAAATGTTTTTAAATGTTTACTAAAGGAATAATTAAATGTACAGTCTAACAAACTTTGGAAAACATCTGAATGCTGTGAAGACAGAAGCTATTAAATATTAGTGTTAAGGACATTTCTTACATGATGTTCTTGCAGTAGTTATTTTTAGGTTATGAATGAGGAGTGATTTTTATTTTGTTCTTTATATTTTATAAATTTTTATAATATACCAGTATTTATCTTTTTTAAAAATGTTACAAGTAGTAACTGTTTCCAAAGGCAAAAGGAATATATTGAAATAAACTCTGAAGAACTTCATTAAGGAGGGCCATGAATCGGGGTAGCCCAGGAGAAGACAGCTAGGTCTTCCTCGGGTGCATACCCCATTTTTCCACACTAATAGTTCTTCCTGTTCTCAGGCGGGCAAATAAAAAGTGGGTGTTTCTTCATCCTACTTTACTCTGTTAGTATGGCCATAAGCAGAAATGTCAGGTAGCAACCTCTGGAAACTTCCCTTAAAATACACAACAATATAACACAATGGCATGTACTTGTGTAAGACAAAACACACACACACTAATAGTTCTCTGATCTACTTTCTTCTGTTCCATCCTGCTGCCTGGAATGCAGATGTGGCCTCTAGAACACTAGCTGCTATCTCAGCCTATGAGCTCACACCTGGAGATAGAGGAACAATGTACTAGACAGAATCTGGGTCTCAATAGGGCTCTGTAGATTGGAGTTACTATAATATTCCTGGAGAATCCACAGCTATACTTTTAAGTGAAAGAGAAATAAAATTTTGTTTTGTTCACCTATTGTTTTGAGTCTCAGTTACCCGAAACTGAACTGAAAAAAAATTATTTTTTATTTTTTATTTTTTTAAAATAGGGTCTCACTGTGTTCCCCAGGCTTGTTTCCTGGGTTCGAGCAATCCTCCTGTTTTTCAGCCTCTTGAGAACTGGGACTACAGGCATGTGCCACTGCACCCAGGTGGCGCTAAAATGAATTCTAACAGGGCAGTTTCTCTCTCCACATCCCCCCTCCCTCAACCTCCCTGCCCCAATTAAGACTAGATTTTAAAAAGAAGGAAAATGCTAAATGATAACCTGGGAAAACGTTACACTAAAATTTTTTATTACAAAAAATAAGATAAAATTAAGAATAATTAAGTATATATGAAAACAACAGTGCCTAAAATCCTAAGTGCCTAAAAG